AAGTTTTCTTCCCACGCACAACGGACACTAATGTTTTTGTCACTTTTTATGGAATCAAACTCAAAGTAAGGTCAGTACTTCCACGCTTTAAACCTGCATACTCTCTCCCGCACTCGATATATGATCCATTGTTGATCTGCACACAGCTGTTGTCAGGAACGTCGCACTCACTTACGTCACTGTCATGAGACGTTCTCGCAAAAAAAAAAAATCACGGTTTTAGTAACGCAGTAACGCAGCATTCCTACGGGAAAGTAACGGTAATCTAATTACCGTTTTTGCGATAGTAATCCCTTACTTGAAAAAAGTAATCCGATTACAGTAATCCGATTACTTTAATGCCCATCTCTGGTCAAGATACAGTTACAATGTTATAGTTCATGATACTAATTTAACCCTGTTCCTCTTCTTTTCCTAAGATTATTTTTTTTTAGTGTATATAGACTGACCGACTTTCATTATGTGACTGAGAGCAAACAAGACAGGGGAATTGTGTTTCTGTCTTCAAGCAGAGGGACAGAAAACTTGAAAGGGTTTGGAAGCATTTCTTGTTTCGGATCTTGTTCGGAGTGAAATATGTCTTTGCCTAATGCAGTGATTGATGGAAGGCTGGGAGACAGATGGACACATAAGGAGCACTTTGCTAGGGAGGTGCCACTCAGTGCACAAAGACTGACGCTGACATTTCACAGAACAACATACATCAAATGATCAATAGTCCTTCCCCTGTCTGACGAGGTACCTTGCTTGAGAAATAGGGCCGCTGCTTTGCAAGGACAAAACAGCTCAGTGGAAAAGTGAGCTGACCTCTCACCACGAACATTGTTTTGCCAGTGATTTATTTTCCGACCGCACCGCTTGTACAAGATAAGGTTTTTGGCCGGGACGTGTTCAATACTGGTGGTTTTTGGAGCAAATCTGTAATATCAGACACAAGTTTGCACACTTCTTTGGTCAGAGTCCCCGGAGACTCGCACACTGTGAGAAACTGGAGTTTGGGCACTGACCTGTTTTTATTTTGACGGAATGAGATCGGAAATAAAGGCAGCATGCTAAAGAAGGTCTGTTTCCTTTGAATGAAAGGCTCATGAGCAAACACTTAAGGGAGTCAGACTTAATGCATCTAATTATATCTCAATCTGATGTTTGTGGGATTTTTGAGTCCCCTGTTGTCTTCATTCACCTTACTGACTGATTGATTCCTAATGTTCTTCCAGGTTCTGTTGAAAAAAATCTCCACGACTGACAGTGACATCCAGTCCACGCTGATGTGCTGGCAAGGCCAAGGATCCCGATGCAGTCCAACAATTCCTGCTGGAGCTAGACTAAGAGCTCAGCACAACAGGCTCCCATTTCTGATCTTGGAAACATTAGGAAAATAACAAGATAAAGTTTATGCATGCACTGCAGGCATAACTCCACGCTCCTCAGCCAAATCTGTTTGCAAAGAAAATTTCACACATAGTGTCTCCACGCGGGCTTGCAACATGGCCCAGAACCTGAAGAGCTGAGTTCAATAAAGGTAAAACACATAAGTAATATCTTTAATTTAGATTTTTCTTTCAGTTTGAATTTTTGGTACACAATTTTTAATCTATGAAAGAAAAGAAAAAAAGCCAGAAACCAGGCGCAATCTCTTAAAGTGTTTGTGGTTTCAGTATATTTATTATTTAGAGACTCACTGGAAGAGAGCTCACAATTATCTAAATTACTCTGTAATTACAGTAAAAAGTGTTTTAGTTTGAAACATGACATACGTTTCCAAAACGACTGACCCACTGGTCAGTTTTAGACAACAAACTAATCACGGTATCCCCAGGAGATAATTGACAGCAAGGCCCTGTGCAATTAAGGGCGCACCATATTGAGTGAAGGATCCTTCATTATTCAAAGCAGGCTCCTGTTTAAGGGATAGAAAATAAAACTCGCTCTATTTAGTTCTCTATAAAATACACAGTTTTAGCTGTATATTGTTGCTCATGATTTAATTTCTTCATTTCTCCAAGTGGTGTGTAAATGCATTGCCTAATCTTAATCAGTTTTAATTTTATTTATATTGCACCAGATCACAACAACAGTCACGTCAAGGTGCTTCGAGGCTTAAACTTACTGTAAATTGATTCGTTTTAATTTTGCTATAGTCATCTCAAGGTGTTTTATGTTAAAACGTGAAAGAGCACACGCTTGACGACAGTGGGGATGAAGAACTCCCTTGTTAACATTGATAACACTGTGTCTTTACAGATGTGCAGGCTGCCAGTTCCATAGGCATTAATGCACCATCATACATCAGAGATGCAGGTTTTTGAATTGAGCACCGAAAACAAGCCACATGGTCCCTCTGCCCTTCTGTCTGGAAGACGCGATGTTTTCCACTAAGAATTGAAAATTTTGATTTGTCCGACCACAGAAGAGTTTTCCAGTTTCCTCAGTCCATCTCAAATAAGCTTCCAGTGACGGGGGTGATCTTCTGTACATGATGGAGCTTTAACCTCCAGTTGTGAATGACTCAGTAACTTGCGTTAGCAGACAGGGATTTCCACGACAGGATCATACCTGTTTTGAATGCAGTGCCACTTGAGGCTCTGAAGGTCATCCCTTTGCACACTGAATCTTTTGATGATATTGTATACTGTAGGTGATGGCAGGTCTTCACAATCTTACATTAAGAAATATAATTCTGAGGTTGCTCCACAATTGTAGATCCAGGTTTTTTACAAGCTGGTGAGCTTCTGTCCATCTTTACTTTTGAGACACTCTAACTCTCTTAGATGCTCTTTTTATGCCCAGTCATGTTTCTGATCTGTTGCTAATTAACCTAATTAGTTGCGAAATGTTCCTGCAGCAGCATCCTTTTGGTTTGACGTTGACAATAATTGCATCATAATGTTTTTATTTACATTTTACATGCCATCCCAACTTTCTTGAAACCGGTGTAATAGAAACACAAGGTTAAACTGAGGGTTGACTTAAGAGTTTAATTCATTAATATAGTTACATATACATTAACATGTCATTTAACTTGTCATTTAACCTTGTGGTGCCTTTATTTGCCCAAGAGCCTTCTGCTGCCATGTGCATAGAGGAGGTGGCAGGATGAAATTTGAGCAATGTGTCCTGCCTGTAGGAGCATTCAAGAAAGTCCGCACATTTTTGTGTGCAAGTTTTGTCTACCAGATGAAAAAAAATCATCAACAGTCCTCATCAGCACGACCAGTAACTAAATACTTAATCACACATCAGAAATTTTACTTTTACTCTCAACAAGATCAAATTTTCTCACCCTTTCTTCAGTTTTCTCCAATCAGTCTTCATAGTGTATGCTAAAGCAATATTATAGAGCCAACCATCTATCAGGGAGTTGCTGATGGTTCTGGCATTCATGTTCACACTTAATGGCTAAGGTGACCAGTCTGCCAGAAACTTGATTTGTCTCCTTTTATGTCCTCACATCTCAGGTCGCCACTTTCTCTCATTTTATCTCTTTCAGGGAAAGTGAGAGGGGCGGGTGCTGCTCACTCATTCATGGGCACATCAGTCTGGCCTCTGCGATCCAGCCTGCAGAGCCCCTCGTGTTCTTGCTTCATCACAGCTGCCCCCTCAAGTTCCTCTGCCTAATCACTCTCAGCTCGCACCTTGTAAAAGGTGGACAGCCCAAAACTGTGCTTACCCAAGCGCCGTCCGATAGGTGAGGGCGGCGAGGGCTGCGCTGTCATTGGCTGACTGCTGGTGAGAGTGCGATGCGGATTGGAGGATGTCAGGGGACTGGGATGAAGACCTGTGTAAGAAGGCGCTGGTGCTGGTGGAGGAGCTGTGCTTCAACACGAGGGGTTACAGCCAGAACGAACGCTGCCAGGAGTTCATCTTCCTGAGGAGGGGCAACAGGCCGCTAGACCCAGGTAACACACACAACTGGTGCTTCTTACAAACAGTGAATCAATAAAAGATGGATGTAACGTGCGGGTTTGCAAAGTGAAGTCAACGTGGAAATGACTTGGAAGAGAGAGAAAAAAAGCCCTCAGTTCCCTTCATCAGTGACCTCAATGAACACTTTTTGGATAACCTTATGGGCTCAACCACAAGTTCCACTTACAAAAATCATAAGAGAAGGATTAACCAGAGTATCCAGAGCAGTCAGTGCTGTGTGTTGTGTACTCAGATCCACCCCTTATTTGTCAAAGCAACACAGGAGCAATACTGAAAACCCTTAACACGAATGTGACTCCTCTAACCAGTGGATAACTCCACAGCGGCGTTTAAATACAATCTATGCTTATGAATCAAGTTTTGGCAGTTTATTGGTGTTTTAATGCTATTTTTCTTTTGTTTTAAACTTATAATTATTTCTATAAAACCTCAGTGAAATCTGCCTTTCTCTGCCTTATTCTGGGCACAGACTACATGAAATGAGCCTGATCATCCACAAGATATAAGGTATCACTTGGTAACAAAGTAACTGCAGTCTTTTTTCCCCTCTTTTTTTTTTGCAACAGTAAATAGGCTGATATTTATGTAGCGCTTTTCTGCTTTTCTGATCAGTGTGAACTGCTCTAATACTAAACGGAGGCTTTTAAGGTCTTGGTTCCCTCAATTCTGCAAGCTTGACCGATATAAGCACAGAGATCTCAGTCAGTCAGCAGTCAGGAACTTTCTTTCTCTGCAATTTATTGATTTTTCAAGATTCTCCCCTTTTTTTTTAAATTTTTTTGTGTTTTACAAAAATTGCCAGTTAAGCCTACTGCTTCCTGCTTTATGCCAAGTTCAGTCTACACAATACCAGCGTGATTAGGGCCAAACCTGGAAGGCGTTGGTTAGGAGCTGACTTTGGACTTTGTTGCACTACGGTTGACCGAAAACCAAAGTTGAATCTGGGAACCCTATGTTAGGGTCAGTGTTGGTCAAGTTACTTGAAAAAAGTAATCAGTAACTAATTACTGATTACTTCCCCAAAAAAGTAATCC